AACGCAGCTGAAATCTGCAAAGAAAGATGCAGGGAGTTTGGACCCAGAGAATTAATGAACACAAAAGAAAAGTGGGTGATATTTGGTGTGCACAAAAAGTTGGTGGGCGAATCAACTTTGTATATAACAAAAGCGCACAATAAATACATATGAAAGTAATATCAGCATAAAATGAAATGGAAAACCCTTGGAAAAAGCCCACTACATGTCTAAAGGCTAAAGCTGATGAAAATGTTAATTTGGCTTAATGAAATCTCCGTAAACGCTTGCTTAATGAAAAACTCATTCTTGTTTAAAATTTTGGCTTAAAGTATATGGAGGTCTGAGAAGTAGGGTCGTCATGAGCCCCCACCAACATAAGCAGAAGTCAATATGGGCACTTGTTTCTTGATTAGAATTAGAAACAACATTCTTTGAAAAGTTTAAAAGCAAAGCAGAGATGTTCATTTTGGCCAGAAATATACTCTTTAGCTAAAAATACCCACCTTCAGTTCTGCTGTAAGTGAAATGTTTCTATACCCTTGGTTAGCTTAAATCTTCAGTTTGTTTCCCAAGTGGTAAACTGGTTAGGTCCACTATTGAACCTTAGCAAAAAGAGCAAACTTTATTTTGCCAGATAGGGTGAACTGAAAAGTTCTAATATAAACAAGTTACAGTGGCATTTAAAAACCCCCCAGACTCTTATAGCAATATTAAAACGGGCCAGGCCTGGTTGTGTACACCTTTAATCCAGGTATTTAAGAGGTAGAGGCAGGCAGATCTCTGAATTCAAGTTCAGCCGGGCTTCCCATGAGATCCTGACTCAGAAATAAGCAAATTAAGTTAAATTAACTTCTCAAATTCAGCTGAAACTGCTGTGTAGTATTTACCTCTAGACAGTACAAATTGAAGGTGGTATTGGAAAAAATTACTAAAGCCCAAACAACAAAATCCTCTCCAGAAGTGTAGTGTGTAGTAGTAAGGTGATAGGTAAACTGGTTATCTGTCTGATCAGCTAAATGTGCACAGTGGCTAGCATTCTTTACTACTTTATGTGTATCTGAAAGACCTCCTGCATCCAAGTTGGGATATTTTTGTTTGTTTAGCAGAAATAAAGGTAGACGTGTAAAATTTGAGATTCTCAGGAAAAAGGAACTTTCTGAAAACTGTTGTTTTGGAGGCAGTTGGGTACCAAAGCTATGTGCTTAAGCACTGCACCAGAATTTTGGCCTGTCCATTGACAAATAAGCTGCCCTGAAGCAGCTCCCCAGGTGGCAATTGAACTAGATTGCTGACTTTTGACAATTCAAGTGGATGAGGGCACTTGTCTTCTGGGGCAGTTCTGTGTGTCCTTCCCTCCCTCCCTCCCTCCCTCCTTCCCTTCCTCCCTTCCTGGTGTGTGTGTGTGTGTGTGTGTGTGTGTGTGTGTGTGTGTGTGTGGTGTCTCTGTGTGTGTGTGTGTCTGTCTGTTGCAGCTGTTCATTACCGAGTAGCTATAGCTATTTCCCTCACAACTGAAAGCTTTGTTGGTTTCCCTCTTATTAAATATACAGACTGTTCCTGGTTGTCATAATGTAGTAGACATCTAAGAGCTAAGTTTGTACCCAATGTTGTTTTGAATACACGAGAATAATTACATGTGACTTACCTTACATTGAATGAATTGCATATTGCCAGTTGTCTTCTAGATGAGATTGCCCTTAGTTTAGAATTGTAAACACTGGGTTAAGGTTGAGGTTATAGTTTAAGATTGACAAGCTGGTTAGACTCTCAGCAGAAAAGGATGCTTGCTGAAAAGCCTGAGTTCTGAGGCCCTAAATTTGATCCTTAGGACATTCATGGCAGGAGAAAACCAACTCATTCAAGTTGTCCTTTGACCCTCATGGGTATACCTTGGTCCTCTCTCCCTTTCTCTCTTTCTCTCACACACAAATGAGTTGAGGTTGGTTATTTAGCCATATTGCTGAGTTAATGGGTTTAGGCTGTTCTTTAAAATGAATTTAGTATGCCAGGTAGTGGTGGTGGTGGTGTAAGCCTATAATCCCAGCACTGAAGAGGCAAAAGCAGGCAGGCAGATCTGAGTTGGAGGCTAGCCTGGTCTACAGTGAATTCCAGGGCAGCCAGGGCTACAAAGAGAAACCCTGTCTTGAAAAACAGGTAGCAGGCTAATACAGAACTGTCTTTATGTGGAGATGTTCTTTAACAGTTCTAGCATAGGATGTATTCACATCAGTAGATCATGTTTACTCTTAGAAACAGAAAATGAGATAGGGTTTTTATAAATTATTTTGCTTATGGACAACTTTTTCTCCTGTGTAGTCTTGGAGTTTTGTTTGTTTGTTTGTTTGTTTGTTTGTTTTTTGTTTTTTTCGAGACAGGGTTTCTCTGTGGCTTTTGGAGGCTGACCTGGAACTAGCGCTTGTTGACCTGGCTGGTCCCAACTCACAGAGATCCACTTGCCTCTGCCTCCCAAGTGCTGGGATTAAAGGAGTGCGCCACCACCACCTAGCCCTATTGCTGTTTTGAACTGGACATTATTTAATATTTGTGAAGGACTGCTCAGTCACTGTGTGATGTTAGCAAAACTGTTGGCCTCTGTGCACTAAAATCTAGAAGCATCCTTATTCATAAATAAGATAAACTGAAATTTAGCTGGTAAATTAAGGGACATGATGCTGAACAAAGATATGACTGGAATTCTTTTAGAGATGTGGATCATTCCTGCACAAAAGTCTTATTTTTTGGATATTTGAATTGTTATGTAAAATGTATCACTATATGAAGAATGTGTTCTTTGTTTAAACTTAGTAACTCTTGATGTATGTGTCTATGCATATGTGTGTATTTTAAAAAAATTTTATGCCTTCTCTTAGTTATTTAAGGTAGGCTATGGTAGCTATACTTGGCTAAGTCTGGAGGCAGGAAGGAAAAATTAGAGAGGAATTGTGAATAAAAAGGAAAAGGATCTCAGCCTTAGACATGTAGGTTTCTGTAAATAAAATAGTGAAGTGAGGAAGATTGTTCTCCTTGGGTAAGACATAGTACTGAGAAGAGAATTAGAAGCTAGAGTACTGAGATGTGACTTTGAATGATGCTGTTTTCTAGAAAATGCTGTGGCCACATGAACATCAGATCAAGTGTGTTTTTGTAATATTTGTAATATTTTGTAATATTACAAGTCTATATTTGTAATAGATTATAGTTGAGACTGCATTTAAAGAATCTGAGTATGCTGGTTCTATGAAGAAAAAAATTCTGAAAAGACTTAATTTTGAGGAAGTATTTGTGTGGGTATCGAGTTCTAATACATTGTGTATTAGAAATAGTTTCATAAGCTTTTTACCAAACAGAGCTAATTTCTGTACATTGAGCTCTGAAGGACTTCAGTTGCATTTTTGTTACTGAAGTAGAAGTCTCTAGTTGAGCCTTTTCTGTCTCTAGTGTTTTCTTTCCCTTCCACCCTAACCTGGGCCTGGTTAGGAAAGATAGGTTGAATTAGCACAGCTGCTTATCAAAAGAGAAAGTATGTGGCAAGAGAATCTTGAGTCCCTAAAAGTAAAGTTTAGATACATTTGTTTTGCAATATTTCTGGTCCACCCATTCTTGCATTTTTTTTTTAAATTATTTATTTATTTTGCAAAGTAAGTGTGTAACAAACCACAAACCTTGCTGGATACTCCTACTTAATGCAGTCAATTTGTATTGTATCCTTTTTTAAAAACTTTTTTCTTTCTTCCTTCCTTCTTTCTTTCTTTCTTTCTTTCTTTCTTTCTTTCTTTCTTTCTTTTTGTGAGACAGGGTTTCTCTGTATAGCTTTGGAGCCTGTCCTGGAACTAGCTTTTGTAGACCTGGCTGGTCTCGAACTCATAAAGATCTGCCTGCTTCTGCCTCCCGAGTGTTGAGATTAAAGGCGTGCGCCACCACCACCCGGCTAAATTATTTATTTTTTTAATGATGAAGGAAGACTAGTTGAGGTTTATCGTCCTGCCCAACATTTCCCAAGTACTAACTAGCTCTCACAATTAAATTAACTCATTTTTATTATTCTATATTTTGCCATGAGACTCATGGCTTGTTACCTCTCATCTTGTTTCCCCAGTGGCTACATGGCGTCTCTCTGATTTGGCTTTCTTTCTCTCTAACTGTTTAGATTTCCCACCCAGCTATATTCTGCCTGGCCATTGGCCAAAACAGTTTTATTCATCAACCAATAAAAGCAACATATATTCACAGCATACAGAAGGACATCCCACATCAGAAGACGTAAATTAAAGTTGAGATAAAAGGTAGAGGGCACTAGGGATTATAGATATGATCAAACTGTATAAACATTTTCAAAGAAAAATTGTTTTAAAAAATAAACTTATCAAAATTGCAAAGTCATTAAATTATCTTTTGTTTGTTTGAGACAAGGTCTTTCTATGTAGTCCTGGCTGTCCTAGAACTCAGATACCCCTACCTCTGCTTCCCAAGAGCTGGGATTATAGGTGTGAACCAATTAAATAGTTTTGTTTGTTTGTTTGTTTGTTTGTTTTTTGAGACAAGGTTTCTCTGCATAGCCCTGACTGTCCAGGAACTCCTCAGAGATCAGGCTGGCCTAGAACTCTGTAGACCAAGGCTACCTATGCCTTCTGAATGCTGAGCTTAAAGACATGTGCCACCACTTACCACTGCCTAGCCAATTAAATATTTTTTAAAAATAACATTTATTTAAGTGTATGTATATAGAGATCACAAGTCAGAGGACTTTTACTTGGGTCCTACAGATCAAGCTCAGGTCATCAGGCTTGGTAGCAAGGGCTTTTACCCTCTGAGCCATCTCATTAACCCCTTTCTCAGACAGGGACTCAGGTATTACAGTTCGGCTTCCAAGTCACTGTGTAGCATGGATAACTTTGAACTTCTGATCTCTCAGTGCTACTATGTTAAGTTTATGTGGTGCTTGGGATTGAACCAAGGGCATTGTGCACTGGATCAACTGAACCACATTCCCAACCACATTGTGTACTGATGGTAAAATACTATTATCTTTGTATACAATTAGTGACTATTTTTCTTTTCTTCCCCAGCAGAAATTCTAAAATAAATCCATCAGAATGACACCTTCTCAGGTTACCTTTGAAATAAGAGGAACTCTTTTACCAGGTAAAGTTTTACTCTAGAATACTTTTTAAAAATTAAGTGGGCATTTTTCTTTTCTAGATTAAGTGGGAATTTTTCTTTTCTAGATTTTTAGAAAATCATTAAAAAAAAGTTCTCCCTTGTTTTATGTGTGTGGGTGTTTTGCTTGCATGTATGTCTGTGCACCATGTGCATCTAATGCCTGTAGAAGCCTCAGGAGGTTGTCAGATTCCCTGGATCCCCTGGGACTGTTGTGAGCTAGCATGTGGGTGCCTGGAGTTGAACTGGGGCCTCCTGAAGAGCAGCTAGTGCTCTTAACCTGAGCTATCTCTCCAGTCCCTTCTTTGCTTTATTGAAGCAGAGATCACATGCCCCAGGAATGTACTTTGTGGGATTCTACACTGTCCATCAGTGTACCTTCTCCTCGGGTGATAACTGTGTTCTTCTTGGCATCTACATAAAAGAGTCTAGCAGCATGCCAATTAGGTGAAGTCCTGTGCTTGCCCCTCCTTTTCACAATTACCACAAAGACCTTGATGTTCTTCTTCTTCTTTTTTTTTTTTTAAAGATTTTATTTATTATGTATACAACATTCTGCTTCCATGTACATCCGCACACCAGAAGAAGGCACCAGATCTCATAACAGATGGCTGTGAGCCACCATAGGGGTGCTGGGAATTGAACGCAGGATCTCTGGAAGAGCAGTCAATGCTCTTAACCGCTGAGCCATCTCTCCAGCCCCGATGTTCTTTTTTTTTTTTTTTAATTTATTTATTATAATACAGTGTTGTGTCTGTATATATGCCTGTCTGTATATATGCCTGCAGGCCAGAAGGGGAAACCAGATCTCATTACAGATGGTTGTATGCTACCACGTGGTTGCTGGGAATTAAACTCAGGACCTCTGCAAGAACAGCCCGACCTTGATGTTCTTAATGTTACCTTGTCTACTACCTCATTTTAAAGACAGGGTCTTTGTATTCGTGGCTGTCCTGGAATTCTGTCAACCAGACTGGCCTGGCCTGGAATTCAGAGATAAAAAGTGTGTGTCATCTCACCTGGTCACTGTCATTCATTTAAATTCTGATGCCAGTACTATTAACTATATATTACCTGAAACCTGATGTCTTATTTTCCAGCCCAAGGATGTGCTGCTGGTCTATACCTGTGTACATGTGTTCACCACATCCCTCTTGGGCCCAATTTTCAGATGAAAATTTTAGATGAAAGTAACTTGATTTAGGTCTTGCCTGTCAGACATACTTAGAGCATAAACTCAAGAGTGAGTGTATCTACCCTTCATGGTATCTTATTCTTAAGAAAACTGAATTTAAGCAAGGCACATGCCTGTAATCCCACCCAGCACTCAGGAAGCATGCTTGTTACTTGCTTATTAAGTAGTTGACCAAATGAAGAAAAGCTTGTTTCTGTGTCTTTGTTTTTGTTGTCTCTCGTTCTGGAGAGTTAGTCAAATTAATGTTAAAGGTAATAGAATGGCCAGTGGGTCAAAAGCCTGAGCTGCCTCCCAAGTGCTAGGATTAAAGGGGTACTCCACCATGGCCCTGCTGAGAGGCTCCTCTTTCTTGACTCAAGGAGTCTTTAAATGTAGTCAACTGACTGCTCTCTTGCTTCCTAAAATTGGAAAGTTTCCTATTTGGAAAAGCCTGACAGCTCTGATTTCTTTAGGAGAGGTTTTTGCAATATGTGGAAACTGTGATGCCCTGGGAAACTGGAATCCTCAAAATGCTGTAGCTCTTCTTCCAGAGAAAGAGTCAGGAGAAAGGTGAGTGCAGAAATGCCAGGTTATACAGTAATGGTGACATTCATAGTATAAAGTTAGGGACTACTGAGGTATTCGATACATCATTTTTCTTTTAGTTTAATTTTTATGCAAGTTGTGATATACAGTTTTAAAGAGTAAAATCACTTTACAAAGTTTCTGGAAAAAGGTTCTTTCATTCAACATCTTTTGACTTTTACCATCCTCACCCCCCTTTTATTATGTTTTTGGTGTGTGTGTGTGTGTGTGTGTGTGTGTGTGTGTGTGTATCAAATGTAGGCCCTCATACATGCTAAACATGCATACTGCCATTGAGCTGCTATTACTATATTATTATTTTGAGGCTGCTCTTGAGATCCTCCTGCTTCCAGCCTTCTGAGTGCTGAGACTCCAGGCATCCACATCCACATCCACATCCACATCCACATCCACATCCACATCCACATGAAGTTATTTTTGTTTTTGGGGGAAGTACTGAGGATTGAACTTAGGGCCTTTGTACATGCTAGAGGAATGTTCTGCTACTGAGCTCTTTACTTGTTCTTTTTTTCACTCATTTTCTTTTTAAATTTTATTTTTAAAAATTTATTTGCATTAGTGTTTTGTTTATAGACTTATGTGTCTATATGTATGAGTTAACCTGTGTAGACAATTTTCAGGAATAGGTTCTCTCTGATATGTGGGTCTTTGTGTGTGTGTGTGTGATTTATTTATTTATTTATTTATTTATTTATTTATTTATTTATTTATTTATTTATTTATTTATTTATTTATTTATTTATTTATTTATTTATTTATTTATTTATTTATTTATTTATTTATTTATTTATTTATTTATTTATTTATTTATTTATTTATTTATTTAATTTATTTTGTATGCAGTGTCTGGCATGTATGCCTACACACCAGAAAAGAGCACCAAACCTCATTATAGTTGTTAGCTGTTAGTCACCATGTGGTTGCTGGGAATTGAACTCAGGACTTTTGGAAGAGCAGCTAGTGCTCTTAATCTCTGAGCCATGTCTCCAGACCTTATGATGTGGGTCTTAGAGAATGAACTCAGGTTATCTGGCTTGGTGGCAAGTGTCTTTACTCTTTTGTTTGTTTTCCAGACAGGGTTTCTCTGTAGCCCTGGCTGTCCTGGAACTCACTCTGTAGACCAGGCTGGCTTTGAGCTCACAGAGATCCTCCTGCTTCTGCTTTAATTTTCTAATCTTCATGGCAAAGTGGTAGGTAAAAATCAAAAGATGGCACTTTGTTCAATTGTGGACACTTGTGTTACTGGTTGCCCTAAATATTATATGTATACATCTAGTGTCCCTATGAGAAATGCCAGCTGAGATGATTTTTATGTTAATAAAAGAACAAAGAACAGTTAGGCTTGAAATTGTAACTTGCCAGTATTCATGGCTCACTTGTGACCTGAAGGCTATACTCCAAAACCTTTTTAGTAACATGCATTATCTGTGGGTAAGTTGGAAGAGAAGTCTGACAGTATATATTGCTTTCATTTGATTTCTAGAGTTTTGTGCTTCTGTGTGTATTTTGTTCCTTCTCATTCTTTTTTTTTTTTCTTTTTTTTCCCGAGCCGGGGTTTCTCTGTGTAGCTTGGGAGCCTATCCTGGCACTCGCTCTGGAGACCAGGCTGACCTCGAACTCACAGAGATGCGTGTGCCTCTGCCTCCCGAGTGCTGGGATTAAAGGCGTGCGCCACCGACGCTGGGCCCTTCTCATTCTTTAGATCTCAGCTGAGATATTTTTTCACTGAGGATTCTGCTCCAAAGCTTCCTCCCAAATTTGGAGTAGTTTTTTTCTTTTTTCTTTTTCTCTCCTTCCTTCCTTCCTTCCTTCCTTCCTTCCTTCCTTCCTTTCTTTCTTTCTTTCTTTCAACACAGGGTCTTACCATGTAGCCCAGGCTTGTCTTGAACCTCTATGCAGTCCACTCAGATATACATCTCATATTTTTCTGCCTAAACTTCCAAATTCTGGGATTACAGATTTGCACCTCCCTATCGGCCTTGTTAGTTTAGTATTTGTGGTTTGCTCATTTGTTTGTCTACCCACACTGAAAAGCATTCCCACTGCCTGATGGGCAATCATGGGTAGGGTGTAGTTGGATTTTTCTTTGGGCCACCAGTTTACAAATAACGACACAGAGACTTACTATTAATTACGAAGACTCAGACTTTGCTTAGAATAGTTCTTAACTAGTTCTTTTTTTTTTTTTTTTTTATGTATACAACATTCATGCCTGCATGCCAGAAGAGGGCACCATATCTTATTACAGAAGGTTGTGAGCCACCATGTGGTTGCTGGGAATTGAACTTAGGACCTCTGGCAGAACAGTCAGTGTTCTTCTGAGCTATCTCTCCAACCCCCTTAACTAGTTCTTATAATTTAAATTAACCCATAATCTACATTCTGCCATGTGGTATTACCTTTCTTCCATCCTGCTTCCCCTCCAAGTCTCACTGGTGAATCCCACAGGCCTAGACTTCCTCTCTCTGCCTGCAAGTCCTGCCTATTCTCTCCTGCCTAGCTATTGATCCTTCAACTTTTAATTACACCAGTCACAGCAACACATCTTCCCACAGTATACAAATATCCCACAAACAGTCCTTATTTAAGAAGTTTTGTGAATTATGAGTTCTTCAACATTTTACTTTGATATTGATAGTATTCTTTTTTTTTTTGTCCCCAACCCATCAGTATGTTATGGAAAGCAGTGATTACTCTCTGTAGAGGAGTATCAATTCAGTACCGCTACTTCAGAGGGTGCTTTTTGGAACCAAAGGTATGTTTTTCTTTCTTTTTCAATTTCTTTAGGACTTTCAAAAGCAACTAATTTAAGTTTGAAAACATTACAAGTAAAATGAGTCTGTTTTGGTCAAATAGGAATAGAACTCTCAATAACATTTTAGTACCAAAAAAAAAAAAAAAA